CAAGCACCTGCAGAAAGATCACGTGATCGATGTTCTAGTCAGGTAGAAGGAACGGTGTGTGGAGGGATGAACTTTTCTGTCAAACTAAACTGTCCTTGCCAAACATAGTAAAAACGTCCACCAAAACTGTCAGCGAAGTTCAATATTACGTTGGAAAGATAGAAACCTGAGGGGTCTCTGGAGCTTAAGTGAACAATTCCTGAAGGAGGGCGGGAAAGCAAAAAGGCATACCTCTTCATTTGGCATAGAGCAAGCCTTCATGGAGAGATTTGCCAACGATTTCGGTGCAGACTGGTGTCGAAGTCGTGACGCATTATAAGACAAAAAGACACAACGGATTCGGTTCATACGTGGCCAATGCGTGCGTTCCGGCTAAACTACTCTTGATCAAGATACCTAGCCGTTTGACTGTTGAGCCAGGTGTTAAACTCCCAGCGCTAGGATCTAGTTAAGCCTGAATCGGGTCAAGCCAGTCACTGCTTCTAAGGCCTTTAATGGTAAACATACACTCGACTGATTTCTTTGCATTCACGATCACGATCGATGTTCTTCGCTTGTGCGATCGATGCCTTGAAACAGTTACAGTTCCGATGGTGGATGAAGTCGGATTTTGATTTTATGGCACTGCCGAGGACATCGCAGCTGGAAGACATCGCTTCTTTTGTATAGCATGGAAAGATCAGGGGATGCGCAACACTTTGCATCACTCCCCTGTTGCTTGGACGGATGAGAGAGCAGGAATGAATGTGACAAAAAGCCGGTGCTGATTTGATAGGTAGCCGGCCAGCTATTGTAAAACGTGATGATTGATGCCGTGGGCGTGAAGCACCCAGAACAATCGTGGCGATGGTGAAGTGCTGAAAGCAAGAATGTTAATGTCAAGGAATGTCAAGCCAGGTTGTCTTCACGATGTACCCCCTTAATCACAACAATCGGCTTCAATGACATGCTGTTTTATTAGTGATTCAATGCATTTCAACATAGTGTTAGTGACTGTGATAGGCCGAAAATCATGGGAACGTTTGGCATGAGGTTTCTTTGGAGTAGGGTTGACTCGGGCTAACTTCCAGGGGTCAGAAATGCGGGTGATGCGTAGACGTTTGTTAAATAATTCGGAGAACACTGAAACTAGAGAGGTAGCAGAGGTCTTCAGCGTGACTGCTGTTACATTGTCAGGTCCTGAAGCCGAGTTCGCCTGAAGGCGGCTGAGGCAGGTCAGCACGTCAGGTGAGGATATAACTAGGCTAACCGTATCTGATCGAGGAACGGGAGCTTTAAATTCGCCTGATGTGTATCTGCATCCTCGAACTGTTAAAACTGATCGATTAAAGCATCTGGGTAGCTGCATTTTCTTGCTTTCCTTGCTCAGTATTCGCACAAGTATTTCACTCCATTCCAGAGGTGTTGTGGAGTATTTTTATTCACAAGCTGAGCACTGAATGACCCATTCAGTTTCGGTCGAAAAACCTCGGATTTAAGTTCACTGTGCTGCCTTTTAACGGCGACCTTACGTTTGCTGTGAAGCTACGTTTTTCTTGCTGTGTAGCTGCTCGATCAGCTGCGAGGTGACGAGGTGATGTTCGATGAAAGTCTTTTGCACCGGGCATCAGATAACACGGCTGAAAGTCAGTTATCCGGTTAGAACTTTGCTTGTGGCAAAGTCTTTCAGAGACCTTCATCCAGCGATGAATCGAAAAAAGCTGATGACGATGTTAGACGTGTTTTTTAATGAAACGTTTAGTAAACCGTTTTCATTTGCGCCTCCTAACGATGCAGCAAGAAAATAATCCGCTGAAACGACCCTTTTATAGGAAAAGTCCACGTCACTGTTTGCAGCGAACAAAGTGCGATGGTTAAAATGACTGATGAGACGACATGCTAACAGTGGCAATGAACTGAAAGAAAATGGACTTGGATGGCTGAAATACTAAATAAATATCGCATAATTCCTCAAAAACCAGATCGCACAACGTATTGCACCGCCTCGTTGCTTCTGATCGCCTACGGGGGCCATTGAAGCAGGTCTCCGTGGTACTTGAGTACTTGAGCATTTGCAGTACCAGATGCATGTCGCGTTATTTCGTTCGCTAGAGTCATTTTACTCGCCTCACGCTCCATGCATAATAGAGTGACACGATCTATAAATGAGGTGCAAAAGTGTCTGTGAACGAGTTAACAGATTTAGAAACAGACAAAGAAAGAAGTGCAGTTTAAGTGGTGGGCAATAATGCGGAGAGAACGAGGCGATTAGCATTGGAACAGCCTTCGGCAGATATGAATCTCGCAGAATATCCAGACAAGTCGATATCTGTTCACGAGCCGGAATTGGGTCAAGATACGACAACATAATTGCAACGTATCTTCTCTGTGAAACAGCGTTGTAACGTCTTATCCGAGCCGACCACACAGAACGATTTTGCCTCCGAGACCATACGGATCATTCCGACGTACAGCCGTGCCGCAGAAAAATCCAGATTCGCCATAAGCGAAACTTTATCGATAGTTTGGGCCGCTCTTCCTGCCGCCTGAATGACTGACAACATTGTGGCAGTTCCAGATGAGGTAGTACTGCCATTGCTGCGCTGCGACAGTCGTGCTTTCGTCGTTGGCACTGGCTCACGTCCAGTCAGACTGCAGAGTTGGCTGTGATGCGAGGAATGACGCTGTTGGCGAAATGCCAATGCTGAGGTCCGGTACTCAACAACCTGCAATGTTTCCGATGTGGGTGTGACACGTTCAATTGGAAAAGTCATGACTTCGATGGACGCTTGGGTCGTCATACGCGAATCATGCGTCTTCAGTCGTCGCCTTGTTGCAGCTCTTTCTCTCTCTCCCTCTTCCTCTCTCCCTCTTCCTCTCTCTCTCGTTTCAGTCCCATCTGACCATCTACGATAATGCCGTATTGACATGAGTAAGGCGTTTTACTAATGACTTCGTCGCGGCCGTAAACTCGGCGTTTAATTCGTCGTTTGACTTCGACAACGTCGTCCGAACGACGAACGCACCGACAATGGAATGCTAGTCGACGAAAGCTACGCCGTAACTCGAGAACTCAGAACCGAGTGTCGTCGCCTCGACGTTTGAACTCCAAACAAGCCGCGCTACTGTCCCCTCGATCCTCCGCCGCCGAGTGAGGCTCGTCAGACGCCAGCGATCCGCTTGCCTGGCGTTTGACGAACGAATCATCGGTCACCGCCGACCAAATCCGTCGCTCTCTTCACAGACGAGCAACGGTGCGCTGTGAAGCTCCGAGGGAGAAGAGAGTGCCTCGAACGCCGGACACTGAGTGAGCTGTGCGACCGTCGGCTCTTACAACGACCATATCAGTCTGGTAAGTG